GGGGGGGGGGGCTGGGGATTGTTGCAACAATAGAAAACTCATACGACAAGAATTATCTCATTCCTAAGTACACCCATGTGATTGTGAATATACTCTTTCATTATGAGATCACAGGAGCTATGGTGGGACTTTCAGGACAGAGCAGAATGGTAGCCACCAGACCTTTTCCCCCTGATTTGGTAAGTATCTTCATACAAACAAACAAATGCCAAAACTGGTATTCTGTTGTGTGGATTTTAGTATGCTTTACCTACATGTACCCATCTATTTATTAAAGCAAAGCCTACATATATACTCCACAGTCCTTCAAACAGATAAATCTGAGTGTTTACATGCTTGAATGCCATCTAAATTGAAACAAAGGTGTCTAGATCATCATCTTCAAATGTTTAACAAAATAAAATTTCAGTACATAGAATTTTAAAGTATCTTAAAAGTTAATTTATGTAGAAAGAAATATCGGAACATTCATAAAATTTTTAATTTTTTCCCCTTAATCAAATATCCACTTTGAGCCAGGCATTGTGCTAGGGATACAAAAACAAATGCTAAGACATACTCTGCCTTTGTGTTTACAATGCAGCACGGAAAACATGTGTAAATAAGTCATTTCAGTACGCTGTGCAAAGTCCTATAACTTAGAATGTCAAGATTAGTAAAGATAGAATATACAGAAGGAGTCTCTAGGCTGGCCTCAGCCTGGGTATTCAGTGGAGAAAGTGACATCACCACTGAGTCTTGGCCTAGGTGTTATCAGTAAGAGAGCAGGAAAGGGGATACTAGATGTGGCAAAAAAGGTAAGCAGAGAGACTGAGATTAGCACAATGTTTACAGAAAACTGACAATGGGGCCAGCAACTCTAGCAAATTAAAGCTTGATATAAGAAGTGAAACAGAAGTTGGAAAATACTCAAAAGGTTAACTTTTTGGAGGAGGGGCAATGTTGCCCTGCAAGACATGTTTATAATGCCTAGAAACATTTTTCATTATCACAAATGAGGGCATATACTCTGGCATCTAGAGCGCAGAAGCCCTGGGGATGCTGTCAAACAAGAAAGCCACCCTTCCTCGCCCTCCAAAAAATTATTTACACCAGAATGTCAACAAAAGTTGAGGAACCCTGAGTTAGGTCATGAAAGGCCTTCTATGTCACGCTTACATGACTTACCCTGCAGGCCAAGGTATCACAATCTGTGGTCTATCAGAGAAATTTCTATCTTCCTACCAACTTTCACTTGTGAATCTCCACAGGAAGGAACGAAGCCATACTTCATGGCAAAAAAATATCAACTCTTCTCGCACTGAGCTATTAGCAACTACTTACACACAGTCACTGGATTTAAGAACAACACATGGACCTTTGGCCTTTTAGAACAAAATCTGTTAGATTCTCCTACAGAATGTAAATGGAACTAAGCTTCCAAAACTTATCTATATTAAGTCCTTATGCAACTCTTCTTTCCCCCACTGTACTTTTTTTAACCCTAAGGGATTACTTTTTTCCTTCATAAAGTTAGTATTCCACCCTAGGTTCTAAGGCTAAAACTGCCTATATTACCACTCCTCCCATCATAAGATTAAGCAGTTAAGTGGGCAGGATTCAAACAGATCTGATGCTAAAGCCACTGAGCTTTCTGTTAACAGAAAAATAATCCACTAATTTAAATCTGTAGCATTTTTCCCTTTGGAAATATGCTTTCTAACCCTACTCCAAAATACTTACCATATGAAGCCTCTCAACTAGCTTTTGATCCCCAAGGCAATTGTTTGTATCGAACCAGGAATCAAAGTCCTAGATTAACAAATAAAAAATACGTTAAGATCAGAGATAATATTAACTACAAATACCGTTATGCTGTTTAGCATGTAACAATAATTTCTAAAATTAATGTTTGAGTTGTGAACCACATAAATCACTTAGTTCAATTCCTTATTTTTCATATGCACTATTGTTAGCAATTAATTTTAGAACTAGTTTGAGAATCATAATTTCCTTAACATTTTCCTCAAAAACACCCAGATGCCAAGTTTCATAGTGAGAAGAAAATTGTTAGAAACCAAGTTTTACAGAATTAGAAAATCCAATCCTTGAAAAATATCCTTCTTCAGTTTCAGAAAACCTTAAAAATTAAAACCACTTCACGGTTTGTTCTCAAAGGCCATTCAGACTCAAACACAAGCTTTCTAGAGCAATGTCAATTTTCATTAAACTTACTAAAAGTGAAATTGAGATTATCAGCATTTCATTAGTATTTGGGTAGGATTTGAACAAGGACAGTTTCCCTATCCTTACCTCTTAGCATATTTATTATATACAGCTGACCCTTGAACAACGCAGAGGTTAGGAGCACCAATACTCCATGCAGTTGAAAATCCAAATATAACTTATAGTCAGCCCTCCCACTGTGGATCATGCAGAACTATAGTATGTACTACTGAAAAAAAAAAATGTGGACCTGCCCAGTTCAAACTTATATTGTTCAGGGTCAACTGTATTTGCTTTGTTAATAAACATAATCTTAGAATTCACTGTGTTAACTAAAACAAAGCTTTAGCAGAGATTATTAAACAAATGAAGGTGTCGAAGTGGTAGGAAAAAAATTATCTCAAAATCAAAATACATAAAACAGAACTAAAGTAGCTTGATGACACTGACTAAATGTCTTTTAAGAACACAATTTTCTCTGCTCTTAAAATGATCCTTACTTATTAACACAACAAACCAAAATTAACACCTTTTTGGAACTTATTTGAATAAGCTCTTCAAAGCCACACACACACTCCAGCAATGGGAACAAAGGGTCAAAAATGAATTCTAGTCCAACAAAAAAATGAAATTACTAATAAGCACAGACTCTCAACATAATGTACATTATGTTCCTAAGTACAACCAACAGTTCAAATAGTTAATTAACCATTTCCATCACTGCAAATAATCTATCAAAGGTAAGGATTAGGTTCTATGTTTGCTAGACCGTAAGAAAGAATGGTTAGACATATTTCACCAAACTTGAAGGCCATCTTGGGGAGAGGGCATCCTGGGGACTTAAAACACAGGCAACATGAAGTAGGCAAATTCACTTGGGGGAACACCCTGAGCACTACCTTAAAACATAAGCAGTCCACCTAGAGCCACTGAAACAATGTCAGGCCAACAGGACTACCAAATAAGAATGTGAATCTATGACATTCCAGAGAGAACAAACCATGATTTCTAAAATAAGACTAAAATCAAAAGGCACAAAAGTAAATTCTCAGGATGCATACAAAACTTAGTAGGTTACACGAGGCTACCTAAAGGCGTGAAAAAGTAATGATTATCTCAAGTAGTACTGAAAGGTAGGCCAATTCTTTTTTTTAATTCTTCTGATTTTATTGAGATAAACTGACATATAGCTCTGGATAAGTTTAAGGTGTACAGCACAATGATTTGACTTACACACATCATGAAATGATTATCACAATGTTTACAGAACATCCATCATCTCATATATGTACAAAATCAAAGAAACAGAAAAAATATTTTTCCTTGTAATGAAAACTCTTAGGATTTATTACTATTAATTACTCTTAGTTGTTATTTACTCTCAACAACTTTCATGTATAACATACAGCAGTGTTAACTACATTTATCACGCTGTACATTACATCTCTAGTACTTATTTATAAGTGGAAGATAAATAAGTACAATAAACTTTGTGCCTTTTGACTGGCTTCATCCAATTCCCCCCCTCCCTCTGCCTCTGGTAACCACAAATCTGATCTCTTTTTCTAAGAGTTCATTTGTTTGTTTGTTTGTTTGTTTGTTTGTCTTGCGATACGCAGGCCTCTCACTGTTGTGGCCTCTCCCGTTGCGGAGCACAGGCTCCGGACACGCAGGCTCAGCGGCCATGGCTCACGGGCCCAGCCGCTCTGCGGCATGTGGGATCTTCCCGGACCGGGGCACGAACCCGTGTCCCCTGCATCGGCCGGTGGACTCTCAACCACTGCACCACCAGGGAAGCCCCATTTGTTTGATTTCTGAAGCAGGCCAATTCTATTACAAAAATGTATAGTATTAAAAAACATTATTCCAACTAGAAAATAGTAAGAAATACTTACATCAGCTGAATTAAAGACATCTGGCAACAAAAAATTAAGAAGTGACCAAAGCTCATGCAAGTTGTTTTGAAGAGGTGTTCCAGTTAATAATAGTCGATTTGTAGTCTTGAATTCCCTCACTATTTCTGACAACTGAAAGAAACAAATTCATCATCAGAATGAATATTCTGTACATCGATCGAATTCTAAACTAAGGTACAAATGATTTGCACATATAAATATCAAATTACCTTCGATTTTTCATTTTTGATCCTGTGAGCTTCATCTATAACTAAGTACCTCCAATTAAATTTCTTGAAAACAGACTTCTCTTTAATAAGCATTTCATAAGATGTTACACATACATCCCATTCTCCTGGTAATAAAACGTCTCTGACAAAAGCAGCCTGTGTAGCAAAAGAAAAAATTTACACCATGCAGAAATAAACTATACATTAAATTTACTGATGACAAGGATGTAATCTACTATGTAAAAGGGGGTGGGAATGGTAAAAAGAAGAGTCATCTATAGTACGCAAGCAGCTAGAACCAACTCAAAGTAACTTCATTAACCATGAAGTAATCGTGTCAGAGCCATTTAGTAAAAACAAACTGACAAAATTCTTCGGTGCAAAAGTCAACAGACTAACTATTAAAATGTCTTCTTTCCTTGATTCCACTAGGTGCTGAAATTCTTAGCACATAGGTTTAAGAAAGGATAGAGAGTTTTCTGACATAAAGATAGATAAGGAGTAAAGGCTAGTTTTCAGTAAGCACTTTCATTCCTTTTATGTTTATAGATCTATTAAGACATTGCTATTAATTTTCTCATTTTACAGGTGAGGAAACTAAAGACTGGTTAAACAACTGGGCTTCAAAGCATAATAAACAATTTTGTAACTTAGAATACAAAAAGGGAGAAAAGAAATCTAGAGTCATCACTGATATCTGAATAAAGGGAAAACAAAATTAGGTACATAGTCCTTCAATGCAGTATGAGTACATTTTTTAATCTGAATTTTATACTCTTAATAGTGTCATTATTTCCATATCTTCTTCCAAAAAGGATGTGCCAACTTATCAGTATTTTAACTTATTTCGATAGTTATCATACCGACTCATCATGTTACTACTTACATTATTATTTACTATTACAAATTACTATTCCATGACTATTACCATTATATACATCAATCTAAAAATCTGGCTCCTTAAATTTCTAACCACCTCACACACTCAAAACTTCTTTTAAAAATAAGAAAATGGGGCTTCCCTGGTGGCGCAGTGGTTGAGAGTCCGCCTGCCGATGCAGGGGACACGGGTTCGTGTCCCGGTCCAGGAAGATCCCACATGCCGCAGAGCACTAGGCCCATGAGCCATGGCCGCTGAGCCTGCGCGTCCGGAGCCTGTGCTCCGCAACGGGAGAGGCCACAACAGTGAGGGGCCCGCGTAGCACAAAAAAAAAAAGAAAATGCTGCTAGAATGAGACACAGCCTTTGATTTTATAACTACCCCCAGAAAGCAGGGGAAAACAACTATATTCTTATAGCTTTCTACAGTGTACAACTCCATTTTCATAGTATAAATCTTAACCATCAAAAAAATATTCCACTTATAAATTACTAATATTTGTGAAGACCAAGCTCATTATTGGACCCTTTTTCTCTCCTTTTATCCCTCCTCTAGTTATCCCCCTCCCACAAAACCTAAATTCAAATTCTTTTAATATCAAAAATGTAATGAAATATGAGAAACTTACTCTTTGTTCTTTATCTCCTATTAAACAAACAGATCTAAGTGTTGGTACCCATCTCTTGAATTCACTCATCCAGTTGTGTAATGTAGACTTAGGAACCAAAACCATATGAGGACCAGGAATGTTTCTATAGTGTTTCATGTACCCAAGAAGAGAAATTGTTTGAAGAGTCTTTCCCAGGCCCTGAAAGAAAAATAAACACAAAGCAATGAAATACAAAAACAAAACAGACTTCCATATTCATCCTTCTCGACATACACGGAAACATTTAAGAGAAAAGCTATGTGTACAGCTAACAAATGGCAAAAACTTGATATGTGTCAAGTTTACGAGTGTTAGGTCATTTAACCTTCACAAGTCTTTGAAGGATGTACTATTACCATCTCCATAAGGCCCAGATATTTAAGTGACTTTCCCAAGGTCACCTAGCAGAGCCAGAATTGAGGCCTATTTCTTTTGACTCCATACTTTCTCTAAGCAATTGTCTTAGCACTATAGCTATAGGGAAACATAAAACATTCACTACATAACTAGTAAATAGTAAACAAGATATAATGTTTTACGGGATAGAACTGTACAAGCTACCATCATGGAGAAAATATTTCTCGATGACATTCAATTGACCCCACCACCTGTGTTCTGTAGAATTGAAGGGAGATGGCCAAATCATTACATTGTAAAAGTCAACCAAAGGCATGTTTCTCAAAATGTATTATTTTTAAATTTATTATACTTTCATAGATAATAATTCCTCACAGCTGAAGTACAGATATAAGATCCCACTTATGCAACTAAAGTGAGCTTTTATCAGTTTGACAGAGGGTTAGTTTGCTAACAGTTCTAGAGTATAATCAATAAACTATACGCTACAAGCCTTAACTTTTATAAATCTAATGATGTATAAGGTTTTAAATTATAAAATGTGGACTTGTTCAAAGCTGTCAAACACATACCATTTCGTCTGCTAGGATACCATTGATGCCGTTCTCATACAAAGAAATGAGCCAATTTAATCCTCGGACCTGATAATCTCTCAGTTTACCCCATTTTACATCTAAGAACAAAAGGAAAACGACATGCACATTTTAAAGGCAATAAAAACAGGTGGGAAGCTCCCCCTCCATCTGATACTCAGAGGTTTAACTTGGGCCTACACATGTTTATTCTGACTGTACTTTCTTTACTAGATCTTAAGAATGGGAATTCTGCAAGTTTCAAATCAGTGGAGGTAGCGGCAGTGGTCTGGAGTGGAGATGACGGATATGGAAGACAACCGAGTACAGGAAACATGACTGGAGGCATCAGAGTACCTCAATCACTCAGTTCCTATGTTACCCATATACTGGTCCTAGAGACTCTTTGGCCTATTTCCTTTTTCAATGTTACTACAAGTGTTTCTAACCAAACGTTTTCACCTTCCCCGATGACCTAAATAGAGGTTCTCTGGGGACTTTGTTTTTGTCCTAACAAAGGGGAAACAGGAATTAGAAGAGACTGTTTTTCCTTTACCCTTCCTTAATTTACTTTGCCAAGGGGTCCTACAAAAAGGAACTGTATCTCTTTCAGGATTTATTACATATTTCCCACCCCATAATAATTACTAAGTATATGGATCATAAATAACCCAACTTTTTAAAAAACTATGTATTCTGTACTCCATCCCTTTTGAAAAACACTGCTTTGAGATGAAAAGTCATCAATGCTGGGAAAACTAGTTACAAGTAGGAATGTAAGAAAGAGATAACTCAAATCATTCAAATTTCCTTTCTCCTTGTAAATCTGGTTCTGGCCTCTAGCTTCATGAAAAGAAATGGAAACTGTGTACTGTGTAGCAAAAAAAAAAAATCTGGAGGTACACGCTTTAACCAGCCTGCTGAATTTCTAACCAAATCCTATCTTCCCCGAAGTTCAGTTTGCTAATTATTAAGATAACAAATCCAAACTATACATCCTATATTGACTATTATAATTTTTTTTTGCTCACAACCACTATGATCATACAAACTTGTCATCAAGTGAGACAGAGAAAGGAGGTCAGGAAAAAAACACTGGGCTTCAGTGAAGACAACCGTGCCACCAGACAACCAAGATCATATATGGGTAAAACCTAAACCTCGTTAACCATGTTTTCTTTTGGAAAACCTTTAATAACAAGTACATTTTGGAAAAAAATTTAAAACAAATAGAAAATCAGAAGATGAGTTTAAAAAGTCTTTATGAAGTGCCCTTTTTTACACATTAGTCTTCTTATTTGGGGCAAATATAAGGCAAACTTCATTCCCAGTTTTACATACACATTCAGGCCACAACAAGCACAATGGCGTTTTATGTCCCTTTGAAATACAGCACCACTATCGTACTAATATACTATGGCTTCCATCCAAAAAATATCTGAAGTTCATTTCACTATCAATAAATTTCAAAAGATCACTAAAAATTCCATTTATAAATTACAGCCAAGAAAAATCCAAAACATTAACCAAAGGATATCTCAAAAGGGGATGTTTCAGAGATCAAGTAATTAAACATGTGTAACGTACATGACGGAGAGTCTTCAAATCGAGTGCAAACGTTGGTTGCTTTGGAGCTTTCTGTTAATAATTCTTCATCCTCCTCTTGCTCTGTTCTTCGGTGCCGATAGCTGTCAAGTTTAAAATAAAATCAAGTGACTTGAGTTTTGGCTTTAATTTTGACTACCAGCTACTATTTCAACATAATAGTCAAGAGGCTGACCAAGATTACACAGTAATTTCTTAACAGGGATGTAAATTAAGACTAAAAAAGTAAACAGTAGAAATCATTAGTAAATTTAAACCTGAAATGTTTTACATGGCTTTCTAAGATATACATACAGTTTTAAAATAGAGTAATACCTTAGGTTAACCAGAACCTGATAAACATAAATGTGATAATCTAATTTCAAGGAAATATACAGTCAGAAAAACCTCATAATTTGCATTTTAAAGTTAAGTATTTTGCCCCCCGACCTCAAATAGTACCAGAAGTCACATTTTTAAAACTACAGCTTTCACCAAAAGCTGCAGAATATGCAGAATAGAGACTTTGGGCTTAAGCAATGACTCTTAACTAGATTCATCAGAATTACTCAAAGCATTTTAAATACACTTGCCCAGATTCTACATCCCAAGAGAATCAGAGACTTCCTCTTAATAACTAATTTTCTGTAGTTATAATATTGCCAGATGTCTTAATCTCTAAAGGACTCAGGTAAGTAAAACTATGTACTCCCCAATTCTCAAGTTTCCAATTATACCTTCATATTTTCAACAAATATTTTCATTTAAATTAGAAAACAGTAGATTATTCCACTCTTGTGACCTCTAAATCTAACTTACTGCTTATTTCTACCAAAACTACATGGTTGATGGGAGAGGATAATCAGCCTTCCCAGACAGAGAAATATTCCTCAGAAATACAAGCCAAGGCAATAAAAACGCAAGGATGTTTTTGTTTGTTTTATGTGCTTCTAATCAGAAGGTCTTAGTGTTATTTCTTGTGCTTCTCTGCATTCCAACCCTATGAAACTTAGTGCAAAGATCTACCCACCCCCCCCAACCCCAAGTTATTCCCCATAAACTGAGAATTTTAACTTCGTTTTTTTCTTTATAAAAATCTCCTTCACAATATATTATCAAGGTAATTATTATGGTTGTTAAAACTGAAGATAAAAGCTGGAATATGCTTTATTACTTCAAATTGAGGCATCACTGATTGTTAACTGGATGATGGAAAGGGGATAAAAAGCATATATGTACTTATACTGAAGGACAGGACAGTACCATTACCCTAATTACTTCACTTAAGCTAATATTCCATTTAAGATGGTTTGATGGGTAGAAAAGAAATCTATTAACCAAGACTCCTTTTCTTCACCAACACTAATAAGATCAAAGCTGAACAATTTTTTATCTATTTACTACATGGTATCTTTATCTTACAGGCTCTTAATAGAAGTGTTTCTTCTCATGCCATCATACTGATGACCCCATAACAATATCCATTACAGCAGTCTGCATTTCCAGAGCACGAGACTGACGCTATTTAAACAGCTGCAAACTTCAAGTCTGAAAAATTTAAATACATCTGAATTGCAAAGTTCTCATGAAGTTTCATACGTATTAAAACAAAAGCACTTTGGTTACAAACAATGGATTAGCAAAAAAGATATATCAGATGAGTAGAACACCCCAAATAAAATTAAGGTAATATGCTTTTTGATGATAATGCCCTCGAGATAGCGCTAATACCTCCATGTTTCTGTGTACTATGTAGGAAATTTAACAGTGTTGGTAACAGTTTGTACTCTCCTCTTTTAGATAACATAGCATATTTTAATTACTGATCACATTTCATTTTTCACTTTGGAAATTACATATAGCCATTCCAGGGAGCTGAGATTGCCCTAAATTTATTATTACAAACTGAACATCTTAGTTATCCAACCAGCACAAATTCTAAAAAAGAATTTATAAATTCAACATGTAAGAATTACTTTACACATATTGAACCACCACCTAACAGTGTCGTCATACACCTTGACACTTCAATTTATATAAAGAAAACTAAGTATGTAACAAAAATTTTCAACAAACTGCTGTGGCATAAATCATCACAACATCCACACATAATCACAGACTTCAGATAATAGCAATACCCTCAATGCATGTATGTGGTTTAGGAGACTAGAGCACACCCCAAGTCAGATCTAAGTTCAAAACTGGATTATTCTAATTCCTTCTAGGTGATGTTAAATAGGCCGCTTAACCTCTGCATTTGTTTCCACTCCAAGGAGTGGAATACATCTGAATTCCCTATTCAGTCCATATAAAAATAAAGCATTATGCAAATTTTTATTTATTTATACATGTATGGCTATATCCTGCCAAGCCAATCAGGCCAAATAAATAACAGCACCAAAACAATTTTTTTTAATAAAGTGATTTTATGCTCCTAATGAAGACTATCAAAAATAAGTTTGCTTCAACTATTAAGTATCAAATATTACTCACTCGCCAACTGACAGCAAGTTCTGTTTCTCATCCTTTTTTATTCGTGGGCGCCCTGGTTTCATCTTCAAAGGTGAGGTTGGAGTCTTCTGAGCAGCAGGCTGAATGAAATGTGCAAACAGCTCTGTCTGCTTTAATAAATACTCAAATCTATTTGCCCGGTCAGTTTGCTGCAAAAAATTTTAAAACACATTTTATCAGAATATTAATACAACTTCAGAAATCAAGGAAATTTCAACATGCCTCCACACAACAATCTCAGAAATTAAAAGGAACAAACTACTGCTATGGGTAACAACACAGATGAGTTTCAAAAGCATTATACTAAATGAAAGAAACCAAACATAAAAGACTACATACTGTACGATCCAACTTATATGAAATTCTAAGTTATAGAATTATAACTTATAGATATCGTAGAAAGCAGATCTGAAGTGGCAAGGGGATGAGGGCAGGAGCAAAAGAACTGTTCTACATCATGACTGTAAGGTGGTTAAATGACCACATGTGTTTGCCAAAACTCACTGAATTACAAACATAAAACTACTGTGTGTCAATTATACTTCAATACAGTTGACGAAAAAATATCAAATAAAAAATCAAAAGACATTATGCAATACAAGTGTATTTATTCAGAAGGGGGAAAAATGCATTGGTCATTCATCAGTTAGGCTGTTTTAAATTTTAAAAGGCTATCAGGCTTGAAAAACATCTATTAAGTTCATGAAATATTCATTAACCCAATGCAGTTCTTAATACCATTTCTTATTTTCATATCTAAGATCTACTGCTTTGAATGTTCCCTATTATCACACAAAGAGAATGGAAGAATTTAAACCAAAAAACATTTAAGATCTTGAAATCAAGTTTTTATAAAAATAAACAAGGGTGGGGTTTCCCTGGTGGCACAGCAGTTAAGAGTCTGCCTGCCGATGCAGGGGACACGGGTTCGAGCCCTAGTCTGGGAAGATCCCACATGCCGCAGAGCAGCTAGGCCCGTGAGCCACAAGTGCTGAGCCTGCGTGTCTGGAGCCTGTGCTCCTCAACAAGAGAGGCCGCGACACTGAGAGGCCTGAGCACCGCGATGAAGAGTGGCCCCCGCTCGTCGCAACTAGAGAAAGCCCTCGCACAGAAACGAAGACCCAACACAGCCTATCAATCAATCAGTCAATAAATAGGAATGCTGTAGAATTATTTAAAAAAAAAAAACCCTTGGGAGTTAGTTCTGTGAAACACTGCATAAAATTTAAAAAAATAAAAGTAAATAAACAAGGGAAATCTAGAGCCTTTAAGACAACAGACTTTTTACAGACACTCTAACAGTTTGGTTAAAAAAAGGAGAAACAAGACAAGAGTTCAATAAACAGAGAAACCAGTTACTCAACTCAACATCTCTACCTATAAATGCTTAAAATGTCAATTTTAGAATGAATTCCAAAACAATATTTTACCTAGCAAACACCAGAGATAGTCAAACATCGTAATGTTGTAAAAACTATGTATTTTTTAAAGGAAAACATAATTTTTTTAAATCATACCAAGGTAAAACTGAAGCCTAATTTGCTATCAGGAAGGCACAGGGTGACTGTTTCACTGGACCACAAATGTAGCCCAATCCATACAACTAACAACAGGTCAACATGTTTCATCCTTAGTAATGTCCTATAGATGACAAGCTTCAGTTGTTTGTTTCTGAAGACTAAAAAACTGTTTTAAAGTACTGAACTGAGATCCATATACATATATGTATTTTGCACAGTTTCATTTCCTAATACATGTATAATAAAAGAAAAGCCAAGAACATGCAATGAGAAAGATGCTGCTACTTAAAAAAGACTATTATTGTAGCTATGTTTGGATCAAGATAAATAAGCTCTGGAAATAAATTCAGATAGGTCAGAGTCTAGATATTTTAAAGTAAAAGCTACTCTACAGTATTCAAATCACTGAATATGTATTCTTCACTTCATTAAAAACATTTTCAAATCATCATTTTCTTCATAAATACCTATTCAATTCAAAAAATACTTCCGTGTGTCTACCAGAAAAGGTATTTTGTTTCTTTAGGAAGTTTTCATTATAATCCAATATTGAAAACAGAACATAATAGGTAAATTATGTAAGATTGTCAGAAAATGATGAATACTCAGAAGTAAAAATAAAGCAGAGTGATGGCAAGTGCAAGTAGCACTGAAATTTTAACCAGGAAGATCAGGAAAATCCAAACAGAGGTAATGTTTCAACAGAGAAGGGAGGGGGTCCCCCCAATTCTTAGACCTTATCACACCTCTCTAATGCTCAAAAACCTTTAATGGCTCTAGATGTCTTAAGGTGGTATTTTTTCAAAGTGTGGTTCATGACCCATCAGACCAAAATTATCCAAGATCTCTGTTCTCTGTTATCTTCTACAAGGTCAAGTTTGAGAACTACTGTCTTAAAGAATTAAATATAAGTTTCACCAGAGCCTTACAAAAGATTCCATAATTTCCAAAATTCTCTCTCAGTTACAAACTAGTTGCAAAAAACCAAGTTCAGAACACACAGAATAAGCTTTCAGTAGAACTGTGGCAAAGGTTTGAGGGGAATAACAGGCAAAGACCTTGCTGCTTGAAAAAATGAGAGGGTTAACATAAAAATGACTTGAGATCTTAAAAGAGGGGTAAGGAAAATGAACCTATCTACAAAATAAAAACAGACTCACAGACAGAGAGATCAGACTTGTGGTTGCCAACGGGGAGGAGGGGAGGAAGAGGGATGGACTGGGAATTTGGGGTTGGCAGATGCAAACTAGTACATTTAGAATGGATAAACAACAAGGTCCAACTCTGTAGCACACAGAACTACATCCAATCTCCTGGGATAAACCATAATGGAAAAGAATATTAAAAAAAGAATGCATATATGTGTAAAACTGAGTCGCTTTGCTGTACAGCACAGACTGGCACAACACTGTAAATCAACTACACCTCAATTAAAAAAAAAAGGTTTAAGGAGAAAAATCGCTTCCTAAAAATCAGAAACAACAGAATAAGATTAGGAACCTAAAAGAAATGAATCATAAAATCAAATGGAAGATTAAAATCAATAGCCTTAGAAAAAGCTTCTTTCTCTAAGACAGAAGGAAACGACCAGGACAGTAGAAGCCATACATGCTTGGAAACAGAGAGGAAGTAAATTGATGATGGGCCTGTAATTCTTTGTGGAGGAAGACTGAAAATGAGGGTGTGGCAGAAAAGGAGTAGAACACTTAATCAGAGTGGCAAAGTTTTAGAATGGCTAAATGGGACTGTTGAGCAATAAATACTGAAACCCAAAGGCAGTAAAAACCATAAACTTACTCCGGTACCAGTCAGCACTATTATTTTAGTTTTCTCAAGTAGTACTCAGCATCCTGGGTTCAAGAATGAAGAGTGGATATCAAGACTTACCTATGAATAGGATCTAGCAGATGATAAAGAAGTTGCTTGGAAGAAAACTGCTTCTCAAGATCATGATGTTGAAAAAGGAAATTAAACTAGGAGACTAAAAAATCTGTAGGAAGTGAGAAAAAATTTACAATAAAGGGAACCGTGAAGATGAGAAGCATTGTAAAGAACCATGAAAACCTCCATTATATAACCAGATTTGTGTTGTAAATATACTTTGCAAAAACACAAAGAGATGTGGAAGAAGCCAGATCATCAGAAAGAAGCCAAATAAAGATGCCAACACAATAGTTCATGCAACAGAAGAATACTGAACTAGGATGATGAGGAAAAGATAAGAGAAATATTTATGAAGTTAAATTTGCCAAGACTATTAAAACTATGAGGTACTGTAACAGCTTGGGTATTTATTAAGAGAAAGTTTCATTCATTGAGATAATCCTAAGTATAAGTGTGGGGTAGAGATAAGGAATTCAATTTTGGATACTCCTAAATAAGACGTACCAAAGGGACTTAAATGTCCAACAAGCAAATGAAAATGCAATGGTTGGAGGCATCTGAAGTATTCACTTAGAGATGGCAGATGAAAACCAGTGACAAGGATCAAACTGTCCAAGAACAAATGTTCAGAATGTAATGAGAAGGACAAAGGAATAGTCAAGTAAATAGGATACCATCAAGGAAAAAAAGGTCTCTCAGGCAAGAAAAAATTCTGTGGAGTGGTCAATGGTGTCAAACACAAGTGACAGCAAGGAAAATCAAACTACAATTAAGGCAAAGAACTGGCCATTAGAATCACTAGTACAGTGTTAATAACAGAATCTAAGTTGTGAAGGGTTAAAGGAATGAATGGGAAAAGTAGAGCTGGAAAATATATCTTTTTCTTCAATTAAGTTTGACAGCAAAGAAAGGCAGCAGGACAGTTACAGATATACAAATATATAAATGTAATAGAAATCATATAGAATAATACATCATTTCTACTTTACATATTGCAAGATGTATTATGCACACTACATATGTGTGTATATATATATATATATATATATATATATATACACACATGTGCATACTTTTAGGATTTTGAATCTATTTAAGAGATTCAGAAACATTTATTGATATTGAAGAGAAAGTCAAAGAACAAGGGGAAAGTAACATTTGTTAAAATGTACTATGTGCCAGATATTGTTCTGGGTGTTGAAGACAGAAAGATGAAGACGCTGTCCCCACTCTTAAGAAGCATATTGTGTAGTGTAGTGGTGTTATTATTACACCTGCTATTTTAACTTTTTAAGACTTCAAAACAATTAAATGAGTTTAATCCATACAAAGCACTTAGAACAGGGCCTGCTACATAATAATCATTCACTATTAGTCATTATTATTGAATCTAAATTTAAATTTAAAGCTCTTTGTAGGTACTGGTTAACTCAGGGTAAAATAAAGTTTCCTAAGAGGATATGAAACATGAGCTGGGTATTTTTCAAGTATAACATTCATATTCTCTTTTGTAAAGATCCCATCCATATTATAAGAAGGCTGTAGGCAAGGAGCATGTATTATTTGCTTTATAACCAGTAGAGTACAATGCTAGACACATGCAGAATAAACATTACCCTGAATAATTACTTCTCTGGTCTTTAACTCACCTCACTCCCAATGCTAAATCTTAAAATATAAGGGGTGTTAGCATAACCCACATATTTACATAATATGTGAATTCATGCAATACTTCTATATTTGGTTTACATAGTCAAGTAAAGTCAAGTAAGGTACAAAAGTTATAGTACTCCACGTTATACATATTTAAATTGGATATCTGTGCTTCAATTTTGGTACACTTAATCACCTAAAAAAAACATATAAAACTCTTCATATGCCTAGAACATACCATTTTTTCTTCATAGGTAGGATCTGGTTCTTGGATTTCTTTTTGCTTTCCAGGAGACGCATCATCAAATACTTCCTGGTAGGAGGGAAAAATCATGGATTGTTCTTCAAGAATACTCAACACACCATTATCAGACTGATTTCTGCCCAAAACACATTCAAAGTCATACACTCCTGTCCCAAATTTCCCAGATACTTAAATGGCTGTCATCCTACCTGATAGGAAACCTTGGTGAAAAATACCATGATGATAACAACTTATTTAATCCAAATATGTAAACTGCATGGCTACTGCCAAGACTGAAACACAAGACTATTATCTCCATCATCCCAGAACAAAATTACTTTCAGCAAATGTTTCGTTTTCTAATCAAAAATTATGAAGCTAAATTCAACAGTATAAAATGTGATGAAAATACGTTCCCTTTTAATCATAAAATTGCAGTATCTACTGTACTGCTACGCAAATATACACCTGGAAAGCCGCATTAGTCACGCTGATTCCCATCTTCTGGAAAATTAAAAAATTTCATCATGCAGCCTAAAGTGAATACCCTTTAAGTACAATCTGATTCCTTAACTGGTAATAAATGTGCTATTTTTGCAAATTTATTCACCCTGACATTCAAAACGCCACAAACAACAAAATAACAGCAACAACTACACTGCAAAGTTCCACTCATCCATTAAAAGAACATAAGAAGAGCTGGTGAGAGTCTAATTTTCATTAATGATGTACTAATCTGTGTGTGTCAATACATACTGTAATAAAGCTACCTGTGATTAAGAAGTTGGGCGGATGGGGCTGGTATAGCACTAAAATTAAGAGGTCAACTGACCCAAATTCAAGTCTAACTTCATCGCTAAGACCTGTAGGAACCTGTGTAACCTTAAGCTCATCACAAATCTCTGGTCTCCACAAGTAAAAATGACAAAGCCACCAACCTAGCCTACTTCACAAAATGGTAATGGGATACCATGGAAGGTCAAATACACCCTAAAAAAGTAAGATGTGCTTTCCAACAGCAGTCATGATTTCTTTCACAGTTTTAATTAAAAAAAAAAAAGGTTTGGATTTAGGACTCTTGAGGTCATATAGTTATTGGTATACAGTGTACCTACCTATCAGTCGAGTCAATACTGAGAAATGAGGATGAACAAAGACAGGCCCCATCCACATTGCCAAAAAGATCACAATAATAAACAAAAAATGAGACTGCTTCCGTGACCTATCAGTACCAAGCAAAAAGAAAAAATTAATCTAATACATAGGAAAGCTAGCTAATATTTCTAGGAAAGTGGGCTCTGTCAGAAAATAAATGATTTTGGAAAAACCCGAATTAAAAGACCAAGAAAAGAAAAATCACACTATAATGTGAAGGAAAAAATAAAAACTAAAACTAGTCAGTAAAAAGATTGATAAAATTACTGATGTTCCTATTCTAAGAAGGTAAAAATAACTAAGTCATTCTTCAATAAATGAAATCGTCAAACACCTTTTTTGTAAGAATAGGAAAGGACAAGATATTCGGGGAAAGGGTCAGCTTCAGAGCCAGATGTGGGTTCTATCACAGGTACTACTTACCAGAAGATTCAATTTCCCCATCTGGCAAATAAAAATACCACTGACATCATTTGGTACTTGTTGTAACATTAATATTCATAGTTAAACTTTAATTCCACTTTAACTTAAAAATAGCAACTGAATGCCAAAATATTTAGTTTAGGCTTTAAATTATTCTGCTTTCTGATGTTTCCCGTAACACCTCTTGTGAGACTTTGGTTGTTATTCCAACAGTTCAATGACAGCCCCTTTTGAGAAGCTGAGGACAACTAAGGACAGCAATTTGCAGAGAACTGCACATTTACATACAATTGCTTTCAGTGTCAAACTTCAAACCCCCTTAAACCACGAAGCAGGAATCCAAGTTAACCCTGGGAATGCAAAAGAACCATTTAAAACCTAAAGAAAGAGAAAACAGGCAACACCAGGTATGAATTTGAAACAAATCTCAAGTCACTGAAAACTACAGAACACCAGGTGTCCTAATCCACCAAAACCCACCATCACCTAAAAGTTCTTTCAAAAACTAGTAACATGTTACTTCACCCTAGATTAGACCGCTGTTGCCCAAATAAAACTACTGCGCCAAAGGCTTCAATGGTAAACTGCGCTACCAATTCCTTATTAATCCTGCAGCAACGTTCATTTATAGAACAGTATTACCTTCGCTCAATCTGTCCAAGGATGGAAAACTCCCAGAAATCTTTGGGCTGCAACTATAAAATATCTCAAAACAGACTGAAGGCCAAGAATAAAATTTGGAAGGAGCAAGCAATCACTTTGTTCCCAGACATCGCAAAGCCTTGGAGCACACCCAAGAGACCCGCCTGGCAGTTCCCCAATCTTTCCACCCCCGCAGTACTGTCACCATCCCCTGGCCGGCCAGCCCCAGCCCAGAAGACAGGCTCGGCAGCGAAAGGTACCAATTTTCAAAAAAAAGGCCAAGGCCCTCAAAGAGGAATTGCGCTGGTCTGAAAGCCCCTGACTCACTAACTCATTCATCCATCCATCCATCACCCCTCCCCAAATGAGATGGGGGTTCAAGACAGCTGCTGCCGCCTTGGTCAGTTCCCTCCCCACGGAACAGTGCCTGGGAGGAGCCTCCTCTCCCTCCAAGGGAGCAGCTGCGCCCCGCTTAACCCCACTGCGCCCTCGGCTATCCAGTTCTCGCCATTGTTTCTGCCAGGAACAGATACCTCCCCTGCAAGGACCTGGATGAAGAAAAGGAGGCCCAAGTCCTCGGAGGCGCTCCTTTTAAATGCCTTCCCCACCGCGCCCATCTACCCTCTTTCCTAAGGGGAAATCTCCCTCGCCCTCCCCCCAAGTTTAGTGGAAACTAAAATCGAGATTCAGAGATGGGCGAGGGAATTATGGGAGTCTAGCTTAAAAAAAAAAGGTAGATCCCACTCGGCCTCAGTAATCAAGAACATGTGTCTAACAAGAGCGTTCGAGGGTTTGGCAAGGTTCGCCAAAGAGACAAATAATGTAAATGTGAAGTGCCAGAGATCCATTTGAGTCGGCTGGGATAGGTTAGGCACAGGGCGCAAGGGTGAGAGCAGCATTTCGGATCCACAGGGTCCGAGGCCAAGTCTGGGTGCACAGGGGTGAAGTTCGGCTCTGCGTCTCATCACTAACACAGAGGCGAGGGAACCAGTTCCTCCTCCCCATCCCGCCGACTCCCCACGCCACGAGCCGCTCTCACCTCCATCTCAGAGTCCGCGGCGCCGGCGCTGGCCGCAGAGGCAGCCGCCTGGGCTGAGACGCCCTCGGGGCCGCCTTTGTTGCTGTTGTTGTTCCCGCTGCCGGCGGCCGAGGTTGCGGGCTTGGAAGGCGCGCTCTCGGGAGGCGGGGGTGGCGGAGGGTCGGCCGCGGACGACATGATGTTCCTTCTGCGTCACCCGCTGCTGCCAGAGGCCGGGCCCGGCAGAGATGAGGAGGAGGCCTAGGCCTGGGAGGCTACGTCGCAATGAGCTGATGGAGGAGCGAGAGGACCACCCGAACGCCCCCTTCGCCGCGGCTCCGCGACGAGCCCTAGCCAGGCCCAGCAGCCTCCCCCTCTCGTCGTCCTCCTCTTCCGCCGGGCTCGGGGTTCCACCGGCGCTTTACCTCACGGCGGGAATCACGTCGACGAGAGTGGGCGGGGTCACCCGGGTCACTGAGGTCAGGAAGGCGGGCTGATTTACTGGAGGGCGGAGGGTTGAGGGAGAAGGAAAGAAAAGCGAAAGAGGGACCGGGAGCGCGCAGTGACTTGGCCGCCTCCTCTTCTTCCTCTGGTAGATATCATCTATCTCGCCTGCATCCAGGTCCACTACCTACGCCACCGACTTTCAACACTCGCGAGATTGATAGTTGGCTAAATGACTGAGTTCCAGTTGCGCATGCGCATTCTCTTCTCCTCGCCCTTGGCCACTCCCCCTCCGGGGCCCCCAGCAAGCTCTAGGGCAAGGAGTGGGCGGGGCCTCAAGGGAGAGCTCGGAGGCGTAGGTTTGTGCTTCCGCTCCCGGGCAAGACGCGAGTGCAGTCTTAACAGGCGTTCTTAACGGCACACTGTCCCCGGACGCCGCATCTCCTGTGGCTGGCAGCGATCGGCGGCGCTCCCTGAAAATCTGCACAGGTTTTGCGCTGCCTACTGCAGCATGGAGGTCTGTGCAGGCCTTAACACTTTAACCGCCTCCGCTTATAGGCGTGACGCCACTGTGTTGACGACGTTGTGGTTATTCCAGTTGACGTCTCACTGTTTTGTTGTATAAGGAAGAGTGCCCGTTAGTGTGATTTTTTATTTTTCTGTCATCAGATGTTAGCTATATCAGTCATTTCTAAATTCCTTCTACTGTTCGGTGCAGAGTTAGGCGATATTTCCTCTGAATTTACATGCTGAAAGTAAGCAAACTGCCCACCACCATGTAAGTGAGAAACGTGAGTAATCAATAGATAAGAGGCGATGGGTTGTATCTTTTCCTCAACCACCAAATATTAAATTAAAATGTACATTCTTCTCTTCTTAAGAAATGTTACAACTATTCACCACTGGTTTGTACACTGCCTTGCCCTCTCTTCAACACAGCCTGAGGGTCTTGCGCACCCATCTGCTGCAGATTTTAAGCGCAGCGTGTTCTATTCAGTAGCAAATCTGCACACTGCAATAAATTGCTATCTACCCGGCACAGGCTCTTGTTCATCTTTGTATCCCCATGTCCAGTATCTTATCAGTACGTATTGAATAAAGGAGACACACTTTTAAAGAGTCAAGGCTTGAGCAAACTGTTGATTATGTTGAATTTCAAACAGAAGGGATCTCCTTTGAATAAATATATAGCCTGCAAACTTTTAATCAATCGAGTGATAATTCTTTAATTGAGATCTGGAAAAATGTCCCCCAGCCCATTATAAATGCTATTTCTGAGACTATAAGGAACCGCCTAAGGACATATGAAAAGAAAAATACCTAAATGATGTTCGTCGCAGGCTTCGCATGTAATTGCAAAAAAACTAGCAATAGGCTAAGAGTCCAACATTCAAAGTATGATTTTAAAACTATTGTACACCCACAAAATGAACTATTCTTGACCTTTACCAACCATTAATGTAGAAGAATGTTTATTCTATAGTGTTAACTGAAAAGAAAATTTAGCAGTTCAAAAATATGAATAAAACTTTGGAAGGATAATCATAAAAGTATTGAAAGTGATTGTTGTTGGTGTATATTTCCTAATTCTTTTTTGTTTGTATTTTTTTAATTTTTTCTAAAATGAATTTGTGTATTATTATATTGAGCAAACTTATTTTTAATATCTAAAAAATACTTCCACCAAAAATAAATTGTGTGGAAGGGTAAAAAGTTAGTGTCTAGGGGAGTAGCTGACATATAGACACTCAATAAATACTTATGAGAACTTCCCTGATGGCACAGTGGTTAAGACTCTGCGCTCCCAATGCAGGGGGCCTGGGTTCAGTCACTGGTCAGGGAACTGGATCCCACATGCATGCCACAACTAAGAGTTCTCATGCCACAGCTAAGGAACCAGCCTGCCACAACTAAGACCTGGTACAACCAAATAAATAAATATTTTTTAAAATAAAAATAAAATAAATACGAGTAAATATTTATTTAATATTGACATTAAGTAGAAAGAATATAACATTTATTTAATATTCAGAGTATTTCTTCACCCTATAATGAAAGGTAAATATCTTGGGTCCTGGTTTGGAAACCCTAAAAATATACTGAATATGTAAATGGATGAAGCTTAAGTCTGACAATTTAAGAAAAACAAATAGCAAGAAAAACAATAAATAAAATTGCCTCCAAAATGACAACTGTCTTTTTTAACATACACATTTATATTGTGAGTGCGTTTCTCATATGAACATATGAACGCTGTATGAGAATCTTGTGGGGAAAATTATAGAGAAAAGATACTTAAAAGAAAGGAGGAAGGGACTTCCCTGGTGGCGCAGTGGTTAAAGAATCCGCCTGCCAGTGCAGGGGACATGGGTTCGAGCCCTGGTCTGGGAAGATCCCACATGCCGCGGAGCAACTAAGCCTGTGTGCCACAACTACTGAACCTGTGCTCTAGAGCCCACGAATCACAACTACTGAGCCCGCATGCCTAGAGCCCGTGCTCCACAACAAGAGAAGCCCCCGTTTGCTGCAGCTAGAGAAAGCCCGTGCAGCACCGAAGACCCAATGCAGCCAAAAAAAAAAAAAAAAAGAAAGGAGGAAGAGGAAACAATGTTTGAATGTTTGAATCACTAATCTAACAACAGGGACAGAGAAACCAATTTTGAGCAGGGTCTAGAAGCAGGGAGGAAGGGGAGAGAGGCGTTACAGAAAAGACAGGATGCCCGGAAATTGAGCTATAGGGACATTAATTGAGTTAGGCAGATGGTAGTACTTATATGGTGGCCAAATGACAAAGGCCTGTTGTTCTTCAAATACTAAGAGGCTAAAACTAACAGCTAGTTCCGAAATTGATAGTATAACATAGGATTGGTATAGCGGCAAGAGAATAGGTTGGCGAGTCAGGCAAGCCTAGATTCCCATGCAGGCTCAAGAACTTAGTAATTGTGTGAATGCAGGCAAGTTATCTAGCTTCTTTGAAGTCAGTCTTTTCTCATCTTTTTGCTATTATATTATGCAGACTTTGTGTTTGGATAACATTCTTATAATAATTTCGTAAGAATTAAATGACATTTAATCATTTAATTGTAAAACACCCTAGTGTACGTAGGGTGTTTAATACAGTGCCTGACATAGAGTGAGCTCTGGGTTCATGTCTTAGGTATTCTAATCTTGAAGACTCATAAGCCTAAGGGTCAGCCTCTAGCTGTAGGAAGGGTAGTCTAATTGTTTTTTAATAAGGAGGAGGGTAAAGGGAGTAGTGTCACAAAAGCACTAGAAGGAATTACTACTTTAAACATGTTCCCAGATGTAGAATACTACAAAGTAAAATCATGTTAATCTCAAATATGCAAATACATTTTGTTTACACCTAAAATTCCCTCTATTGGATTTAGTGTGCTGGAACAGCATGTTGTATGCTGAATAGAGTGGAGCAAAGAGATATTGCCAGAGGACAAAAGATGCCAAAGAGCCAGGACTCTCTCAACATTTTGGCCTTGAATGGTAACAGAAAGGATTTTATTAAGTTTATCAAAAGCAAAGTAGTAATGTTGAGGCTGTCTTCCTCACATACTCATTTATTTTGTGAAAGCCTGGGAAAACAAAGTTTGATTACTACATGACAACAATAAAACAGTGTTGAGTTTGTGAGTATCTTAAGAATGGGGATTTCCAACACTAGATACCAATGATCACATATGTATCTTTTTCAGAATTCTCCTACTTAGGTCTTTGGCCACATAAGGGGATTTCAATTAAACAAAAACATTAAGTAAGGTTCCAATGCATCCCCCTCATATATGGTCACCAATTCATATCAGTGGGTGACTTTGTGTCTGCTGGATGTTAATTCATGTATTTATGTAGTCATTTAAAATTACCTTTTTCTCCCCTACTATTTACAAGTTAAAAATTCGAGTCCTCTGTGCATTTCCTTCCTTGTGAAAGATATTTTCTTCTTTCTTGAATTGGCTCTAGGTAAAAAACTTCTTGGAACCCAAATATTATAATCCCAAATTAAATTTTAACCACCACTACTCCTGAAATATTTTCAAAAGAATTAACTGTAGCCAAAGCTGTGGTTAAGAAATTTGGGGTTCCTTTGCTGAAAAGATTGAAAGTAAGAAGATGGGAAGATGTATCCCTCAAATGTTATTCAAATGAAAACAAGAGTGACTATATCATTATTAGGTAGACTTCAGAGCAAAGGAAATTACAAAGAGCAAAAACGTTACATAATGATGAAAGTGTCAGTCCACCAAGAAGACATAGCAATTTGAAACATGTATGCACCAAACACCAGAGCTGCAGAATATCAGAAGCAATAACTGACAACTGAAATGAGAAATAAAAAATCCACAATTATAGGTGAAGACTATGGTAATAATTAATAATTAATAGAACAACTAAGCAGAACATCAGGAAAGATATAGAACTCAATGACTCCATCAACCAAGAGAATCTAATTAACGTTTATAGAACATTCCATACAGAAATAGAATACATACTTTTTGAGAACCTTCGGAAAATATACCAAGAGAAACCATAAAACAAACCTCAACAAATTTAAGAGAATTGAAATTATGCAGTGTTCTTCAACCACAGTGGAATCAAACTAGAAATCAATAACCAAAGATTACATCTCCAAACTTAATGACACCCTTCTAAATAACCCATGGGTCAAAGAGGAGGTCTCAAGAGAAAAAGTACTTTGAACTGAATGAAAAATACAATATATCAAAATTTGTGGAAAACAGCTAAAGCAGTGCTGAAAAGAAAATTATAGTACTAAATGCTTACATTCAGAAAAAAAGGGATAGTCTCAAATCTAAGATTCCATCTCAGAAGCCTAGAAGAGGAGGTGCAAAATAAATCTGGAGTAAGCGGAAGAAAGGAAATAATAAAAGCAAGAGCAGAAATCATTGAAATTAAAATCAGAAAAACTTAGACAAAATAAAACAAAGAATTGGTTCTTTGACAGGATAAAATTGACAAACTGTTAGGAAAACTGACAAAGAAAAAAGATACGGATCACCAATATTAGGAATGAAACAGGATCTATGACTACTGACCCTGAAAACATCAAAAGGGTAAAAGGGAATACTACAAACATAAATCTGACAACTTAAATGAAATAGACTGCTTTTTTGAAAAATAAAATCTACCATAACTCAGACTGTATGAAATAGATAATTTGAATACCCTTATAACTATTT